AAGAATTTCCACCTTAGGAGAATGCTTTCTCCCCCGTCCATCTCCCAGGGTGAGGCATTAAGTAGTGATAACAGAAAACAGGTTCTGAAAGAAGGGGAGGCACTGGGAGGTGATGGAGGGTGGAGAGGAGGACAGGAGGAAAATAGGGGTTACAAGTGTGCCGTATGGAGGAGATTGGAGACGAGGATTGTGTCCAAAAAAAGTTGTTGCACGGAGCCTGACTACCTAAAATGGAAGTTTCTCAGGCGAGGATCAAGAGATATGGTGACCTTCACAGTTGACAGAATGAGAGACAGAAAGCGGAGAGGAGGGGGGAGTGCAGTGGGGGAAAGGGGAAGAAAAAAAATAAGACAGAAATTCTGAAATGTGACTCTAACTCAATAAATACCTTTCTAAACCACTATAGAGAAGCCGAGTGGTACCTTTGCTAAGGCCTCGGGACCCACCTGCAACTGGAAATGGTTTCCTGTCTTACACAAACACTGTTGCACCCTAATCCATGTAATTACATCCCATATTCCACATGTGTAAGTACACATGTACAACATTACAGTCACAAGGGTTTTTTTTTTAATACCAGCACAGCCCCCCTGCAGCCCTCAAACACTCCCCAAAAAGCTCCACCTACATCTGATGTTCGTACTCATTGGAGAAACAATACATTTAACAAGAAGGTAGATAAATATATATTTAAAAAAAAAAATAAAAAAATTGCAGAGATTGTTTTACTGTATTATTAACTTTAAACACAACCTTATGCACAGCCATCTGCCACTGAAACAAAGCCCTGCGCTGGAGAGCCGTTGGGGTGGATGAGTGTGATTTTGTGGCTGCGTGTGTGCCTGATAGTTTGAATAAGCATTCCTCCGATTGTGTGCGCAATTAGGGTTAAGACTGTTTGTGTGTGTACAGTATGTGTGTGTGTGGTTGCGTGGCGGCGGTGGGGGTTGTTAGCGGTTCCATCTGGGTCTCCTGGAAGCCGTGTGGAGTCAGGAAAACCACATCTCATAAAAGCGGAGGCAGCCCAATGTTCTACAAGGACAGAACATTACTGAGAATGTCGCTCAGGAAAACCCTGGGCTTCGGCCCACATGTTGGCTGCAAAGGCTGTATCTCTCTCTCGCGCTCTCTCTCTCTCTCTTACTCTTTCCACTCATTCTCTCTCTCGCTACTTATTTTTTACTTGGTAAGGGATAAGAAAGAGGAAGACAAAATAGACAGCGCGGAGTGTGGGAGACAGAGGCTGAGACAGAGAGAAGCCAGCACTGATAGCAATTCCATCTGTCGGTATCGAACAGAGGAGTGAGCAGTGACAGGCTGCGGGATGGGGTGGAGTGAGGGGGGCATCTGGTGCACATTGGCCGTGGGTCTGTCTGGAAACAACCATGGGAGAGGAGGGAGGGAGGGAGGGAGGGAGGGAAGGAGAAAAGGATGAAGGCCCGAGGAGTGGAGAAGGTAAAAGTCCTGCCAAAGTGAAGGGCAAGGAATTCTGGCAACGAGTAAATGTGTCTGTGTTGTTCACATATTGCCTTGGATTGAACTTGAAGTCGGGGGAATACAGGAGGAATAGCAGAGAAATAAAGAAGTGTTAAGGGTAAAAACAAAACCTTACACACACAGATACACACACAACTTTTAGTCATCACTGTCTGGTGAAAACCTCTTATGATTTCAGAGATATTTTAAAGTAAGGAATTACTGTCTGTCAGCGGCAAAATGCTCCTTCCTGCTGCTTACTATTTATTGTTTTTGGTTTTATCTTTTTATGTGCTGCGTTAATGGTTATTGATGTCATGTATATTTCAAAACAAATCAGAGTTCTGCCCACATGATACGCCATTGAACTTTTAATGGTATTGATTAATTTCTTCAGTTTAAGGAGCCTATTATAAAGGTAAACTGCAGAGTGTAAATGTACTTAGTCACACCTATGCGGTGTATTTACTTTAGATATACAGTGAATGGAAGAGAGGAGAGTGGAGAGTACATTTTGTCTCACATATTCAGGTCAGGTATCTTTTGTAAATTTGAACTAAAAAGCTCTGATGGCACCTTTGCAATATTACTTCATTGTGAAGTCTATGAATTTGTGTTGCAGGGTAATCTAACCGTCAGTAAAGCGGTTATAATATTGAAAGTAAATCTATAAAAATGCACTGATGCTATGTGTAGCTACACGAGTGTATAAGCAGGTTGCTGCTGAGGCAGCGCTGATGCTTGTGATATGAATGAACAATACATGAATGATTGTTCCAAGCTATTCTTGTGCATGAATGTATACGGTACATAAGGTATGTAGGTGTTTGGCTCACTCGCTGTGCGTACTGATCAAACCAGATGAGTCTTGGTAAAGCTGTAATCCTGCACTCAGCTCAGCACAGTGCAGGTCTCCACCTGAGAGCACATAACTCACAGAGCCTCAACATCCATAGAGAAAAGCTTACAGACACAAACACACACTCCTCGTAGGTCCTAAAGCCAAAGTTGGTGTGTGCGCAAGCATGTGAGCTGTGTGATTTACACCCGAAGAACATAAATGATGATAAGGAGCAGGCTAGGGAGTGATTGTGGGTGACTGTTGGCTCAGCTGGGAGGTACGACTGACTCCACGGGCCGCCTAGTGAAGTAGCCCGCTTAAAATTAGTGCCACAAAGAGAAGGAAAATGTATCAGTCAGAAAAAGAGAGCCGAATACTGAAGCGTGTGTTTTCCTGGAGTCTTTTTTTTATACGTTTGCAGAATATAAGCATGTGGTCAGGCATCGGAGGAGCTGCAGGTAAACTCTGTCGATCTGTCCGGTGCATCTCCGACACCCAGCAAACACACACAAGCTGAAATTGTCACTCACTGTAAACTGTTCATTACCACTGGGACACACTGTCACATAGTACTGGAAAAGAAAAAAACAAGGTATAGAAAGAAATAAGAGGAGAAAATCAAAGATATCCATAACATTTAAATACACACAATGTGTCAACCAGAATCATCAATTAAAATGTAAAGTAACGAAAGGCCTAATTAGAACGTATTAGTTAAGAAATAGTGAATGTATCTACTGGATAATGATGGCGATTTACAGCATATCTCATTAAAATAGAAATTAACATCATTACTCCTGTGGCCTCCACACTTTTGTTCAAATCCTAAATCAGTACAAGCAAGCATTTGAAGGCCTGACTGCTAGGATTACGGTAAAGTAATTCATCATCAAATAACGTCCCCTGACATCAGTATAAAAAAGACAACTTATTATCTATCATCTGCAATACTGTTCTCCTCATTTTATCTCTCATTTAGTGCGGCGTAGTGGTGGGGAACACACCCCTGACATAAAGCGTTGCCTGGAGGCTCGGGGAAGATGATTGAATTTCATAGCTACTTACAGGCTAATAGGGCCGTACAATGACTACTTACTGTCCTTAAGTGACTGGCTGCTTCTCTGTGGCCGCGGCCCCTTTGAAGCCCTTCTGAGGAGATCTAGAGGATTTAGCCAGTAGCGTGACATGAGGCTGAGCAGTTGAGCAACGGTGCTCCCACCAGCTGACTATTAGAACCAGCTGATAAAAACACAGAGGCTACAACTATGGGAACCACAGCACTCTAAAGGTTACTCAATACAAGGCTTTCTCACACTGCAGGTCTGTAGCATTTAGTTAGCTCTCTCAGGGAAAATATTGGGATTGAACAATGAAAACGTTTTTTATTTCGAGCTGAAACAGCGGGCGATTGGTGGAAATTTTTTTTGTTTTGGTAACTGGTCAAACGTTGTTGTTTAATCAAGCAAATATAGTCCGGTTTCTAAAATGTGATGTTTTTCAATTGTCATTGTTTGATTTTATTTCTAATTGTCATTTCTTAGAACAAACAGTTAATTAGTTAACAGAAAAAATGCATGAAATATGAATAATGACGCCAAAATGTTTTATTTTGTTTCAATTAAAAATAATAATAAAACAATTAAAGAATATAAACAAATGAAATATGAATATTAACGTAACAAGCTACTAGATTTTAATTCTATTCTATTCTATTCTATTCTATTCTATTCTATTCTATTCTATTATATTATAGTTTCTTTCATTTCCTAAACTTAGAGATGCATTTATGTCTTTCATAAAATACAAACAGACCGTAACAAGCAAACATGATCTAATATATTACTGACTTCTATGTGACTGCTGTTTTGTGTGCGTTCTTTTTGAGAAAGTGACTCGATGGTGAGCGTTTTACTCACAGAAGCTGTTTCCACATACAAACCAACCTCTCGTCACCATGCTGTTCCACTTACACTCTTGGAAGACTAGACCATATATGCATACAGATAAGCACATGCGCGCACACACACACACACACACACACACTGCTAACCACATGCACATGTTCACTCACTCTTAACTAATTCATTCAGGAACACTTTGGTTTGGGTTTCAACACCAAAACCTCTGTACCTTTGATTGAGAAATGTGTCTGACTGCAATTATATGGGATAGAGGGGTGGAGGGAGGGAGGGATGGACGGATAGAGAGAGAGAGAGGAAACGTGCTACAGTGGTTTTATAGTTTGCTGGCGTGACATTTTTCTCCACTTTTTTTTTTTTTTATTCCTTTCTTTTTTTTTTTTCCAGCAGTGGGGCATAGTGTTGACAGGGCAGGAAAAGGGGGCACAGTGAAGTAGAAGTAACAGCAGGGAAAATGTGAAGAAAGTGGACGGGCAGTGGGACTGAAGTGGTCTAGATTGTCACTGTTGTGCTTTTGATCAATACCTCTCAAAGTAACTGCGATGTCAGAGAAATCTGTAGCTACACTTGGTGAGAAAGTGATGGTGGTGATCACAACGGACATAATTCCCACTTTCAACAATCACTTGAAAATTGCAGGCAAATATAAAAGCATGTGTGGGGATGCAGAGAGCGAGTACCGCTGATATCTGGTCCTGACATTCACACTAAACCGTACGGTGCTTTACATGTGTGGCGCCGCAGCATACGCGTTGGTCACTGACCTGCAGTATGTAGCCCCTGACGTAGTCTCGGAGGGTCCAGCCCAGGCCGTGCAGGATGTGCAGAACCTCTTCCTGCTTGAGCACGGAGAACAGGCGGTCGAGAAGGATCTTGAGCCTGACGGGTACGGCCTGGGTGCCGTACAGCATCAGGCTGCTGATGTCGAACACCACATTGGACTGAACGATCTCCACCTGGGTCGGGTGGTAGAGGTGCTGGGTGCTGAGCTTGTCCAGAGCTGCATGGATGACCAGGTGACAAGGGGAGAAAGAAAAAAAAAAAAACGTACACAGATACACAGAGAGGCCCGGTTAATGACTATCAAGTTTCTCTCACGTCTCAAATCTTCCCTCATAAGCGACTGCACAGTCAGCATAGCCGATAACATACATTATCTATCAGATAAAAGCAGCGGCATTAATGTTATTATCGGCCATTCGTTCTATTTAATCTAATCTCGTGCTCTTTAACGTTTACGCTGCCTTGGCATCTTCATTTCGAGTTGCCTGCTCTGTCTCCACCACGACCCCAATCTGCATTTCGCTGGATACCTTAACGCTGATACATGTTGACTTGTGACTGGCCTTGCTTATTTATTTATAATCACATATGGTTCATGTACAGTACTACGAAGTGAAGGCTGTACGGTTGGACTCAGAAGTGAGAGGGACAGGGCTGAGTGATGGCTGAACGAGGAGGGTGCATACCACAGTTGGACGGACCTTTACTGCACTGGATTTTCCCCACTTACTCTTTCCCTACATTTACTGTCTGCGTTGTGCTGTACAAAAAAAATGGACCAAAAAAGCCCCTATAAAAAGAAGCGAGAGGGACCGCAAACGTATTATTTCTTTTCTGCACACGTTTATACTGTGTCAGTCTAGCAAACATTATTATTATTAATTTCCCAGTTTTTCTTATGAATGGAAACACAACAAAGAAAGTGCGTGTAAATTGGTTGTAAATTGGGTGTAATTTGTTAAGTAATAGCAAGAAATGATCCACTAGGGAGCGACTGTCCTTTTTCTGTCATATCTTTGACTCTTATAGTGACTTTAATTTCAATAAAAATACACTTTTCACAACTTTAGAATCAAAAAGTCTTGCGGAAAAACCCCGACTAAGTGCCACAACAAACTCCAGCTATATGATAAGGGAGCCTTTATGTTGTGGTAAAAATCTGGGCATAAAAGTTGAATCTGTGGCTGCACCTCATAAAGCCTAATTGTGAGCGCAGTGGATCGTACGTTTGTTAATGCCCACGCCGTTGCAACCTCAGTCACCTCTTTCTCCTCTCTGACTGTCTGGGCGACACCTGGTCGAGTCTTTCTCTCCTCCTCTCTGCCTCAGTCCCTCTCTATTCCTTTACCTCATACATCTCCCTCCCTTACTCCCTCCCTCTCTCTCTCCCTCTCTGCCTGTCTGGGTGACACCTGGTTGGGTCTCTCTCTGATCCTGGGACGGCTTTTTCCTGCTGACGAGGGCTTTGCCTGACAACACAGCGCAGCCAGACACGAACATAATAAAAAATGAAGAACTACTTGTCAGAGTCCCTGCCAATGCCGACATGAAATGAAAAGTGGGGGAGAGGAGCGATGGGTGCCTGACAGTTCAGAGGGAGAGATTAAAAAATAGTCAATGGGGTCCTGTGCGATCCGCTGAAGGGCCCGTGGCCTGCTCTTGTGCGGACGCAAGCCAAACAGGTGTTTTCTTTTATCTTTTCCCCCTCCTCCTTCTCTTTGTACTTTCTTGCCTCCTCTCCCTTTTTCTTATACCCCGCGTGAAAAACTCATAAGGTGTGGTCTCTCGCTTCTCTATCTCTCTTGTGGTTGTGTTTTTTTTTTTCTTTTTTTTTTTGATCTGGTATAAGATGCAAAAAACAAGACTTTGAAAGCAACAAAAAAATACAGAAGCAAACAAGAACAGCAAAGTTACTTCTGCTGTGAAGATTAGCGAAAACATTTGGGTTTTAGTACATTCTCACCCACAGAGAGAATATGTTTTCTAGAGGAAATAGAAAAATTGTACAAAGCACATTACAATTGCGAGATATAAAAGTAATTTTCATGCTACTGGCATCGATAGTAATTTGCTGTGTAGAGTACAGAAATGAAGGTCAGGACCTCCTTTTAATCCACAGCAAGAACAGTTTTATGAGGGTCAGAAACTCTGATCATGTTTATTTATACCAGATCTAGATACAACAGCTGCACTAACAATTAATTTTCTTACCATGAGCTACCCAGCCATGTTTGCACTGGTCACATGTTCGTAGGTGAATCTTCCCTGGCTGGAAACACTCACATGTGCAGTTCACCAGTGTGCAGCGAATGGCCTGTAGAGACACAGGAGACAAAAAGAAGAAATCCACATTAATTACAGTTTGGGCAGAAAAGAGAGATAATAGAACCAAGGAGCAGTTTTCAGCTGACAGACACGAATAAAAAAAATCAGAGGGTGAGGAGTATTACACAGACTGGTGCAGAACAGCAATCCATTTCATACCAAAGACTATACTTTGACCAAACAGTTTCTTAAAAATGTGATGACAACATTGCATCCACTGTCACAGACAATAAGTCTCAGCCCCTAAATTTCCCAGCTGTGACCTGATTCCAGTGTGTGACTCTGCCTCTCCATATACAGTACTATTGCTGAGTCCACATGAACCAACAAAGGACTTCCCTTTCTGAAAACACAGAAATGTAACTTGTTTTGACTGAGGCTCCATTACTCAACACTGGAGCTGCACTTAGTCTGACCCCGGAAAGCTTTTAGTAGTGAGAGGTTAAGTGTCCAGACTTGACGAGGGCAACTCAGTGCAGCACAATGCATCGTCTGCTGAGGCTTACTCCTTCATAAAGGGCTTATAAAAATCTAGCAAATGTTCAGGTACATTTTACAGGAGTTCACTTGATCTCGTAAGATGTTTCTCATTCTTCAAACAATGAAAAGATTGTAGAGTGTGGAGAAAGTGTGTGGTTTAGACAGAAATCTGCACAAATGAATACAGCTTCATCATTCAAATGAGTGCAGCAGCTGCGAGCTGTAAATTTTCACACTGACACGGAGAAACAAGGAGACAGAGCAAAAGGAGGGAAACAAAGACAAAAAGAAATTAGAAACATGAATCTTAATAAGCATTGGCAGCCCTTTGTTTATCAGACATTTTTACTTTATCAAGACGAATTGATGAATAAAGATAGTAACACTTCTGCAACCTAAACTGCCTAAAGGGAATCTGCAGCTGTAGGAGGATTGGTGCAGCAAATCTTAGTTATTGGGGGAAAAAAAACTTGGAATTGTTTCGCAGGACTTTTCCTTTTTTTAAAAAAAAAAAGTCAAACATGCATTTTCTTAACATTACAAAGTAATTTGAGAACGCTGGCTGTCGTGTACAAGTTCATAAACAGCAGTACAACATGGAGAGAATAATGCATTTTAGATTCGGTACACATGGGTGCATGTGGTGTTGAGTTAGTGTTGAATGACTGAGGGATTTTCCAACGTGTTAATTCTTTGTAATGTAAAGAAAAAGCTGCAGTCAATAAAATTACAGAGAAAATATTTTAGCAATGTGTAAGGCAGGGAATTGGGTGTAGTGTACAAGGTGACTGCTGCGAGTAGCTCAGTGTTTATTTTGACAAAATCCAAATGATGCAGTTGCAAGGAAACTTGTCGGATCAAGATATTAAGACACAAGAGTCTCTGTCAGACACAAGGAGAGAACCACAATGACAAAATGACAGCTTATTTTCACATCAGAGCCGCACTTATCAGCTCGTGAAACTTTATGAATTTATAGTCTGCACTGAGTATGCCATCTGATATTGTCTCTCTGTTTTTCTCACAAGGCCGTTGTGTGACAGTAATGTGACACAGACGTGCACACAGAGGGTTGTAGGTTGTAGTCCATGTCTGTGCCAACAACCTATATTTCACAATGCCAGAAACAATCAGTGTTTCCAGATAGAATAGGATCAGCAGCAGACATCAGCCTTTACATCACAGGACAGAGGCGCGAGCAGTAATAACAGAGTACTTCTGCTCTTTTCTGTATGTGCACATTCTGGTGTTTAACAGGAGCAAATAACATATACCTAGTCTGTGGATTACACCAATATCCTGTAATTCAAGATATAAAACTCAGCTAATCTACTAAGGGACCATAAAATCTATCAGAATCCCCCCTTGCTCGCCCTAAGGTGTTGTAAACCAGATTAGTTGCTGGAGGTGTCAAAGTGAACACGGGCTAATCCAAGATTAAACACAAAATTACACCACTTCTAACCATGTCACCTCACAGTTTGACACCGAATGAGACAGGAGACAGAGATTATTTGACTTTACACCATTTTTTAAGCTCTCCAGGTGCGGGCATGGCAATCCTCACAGTGTGTAAGGATTACACGCCATGTGTCAGTCGGAGCGTACGTACGTTATGCACTGAGCCGACGTTCTAATCCAGAGCAACGTGCAATAAATGAGTTCAGTGTTCCTTCCCTCAAGGACACACACTAAGCAGACATGGCCTTTCACGAACATTTCAAAGTGAAGGCTATCGGGTCAAATCTGTGACCTTTCACCTGTAATTTTTCTACATTGTCCAAATGTAAGTTACTCACTAAGTAGCCTAGAATCTTCTTCAAACATTAAAAGCTGTTTAAGCTTGTAATATTATATTATATTCTTATCCCATTATAATTAACACTAAAACAACGATTACTCTGAAATGCCAGAGAAATGCTGTTGTAATTGCTCTCTTCAAATTCAAACCTTCAATCGTATTAAGAGCTGAGATTATTAGATCAATAGAAATTTAATCAGCAACAGTTTTGATCATTAAGTCGAGCAAAAATATCTTAAATTCACTGGTTCCCATCGAATGTAAATATTAAAAGACCGTGCAGAAAAAATGTGTAATTTACACAGTATGAAGACTTCACTTTAGGAAATTGCAGTGACCATAATTAACTGGCATCATGTAAAGTAGAAGCAGCTAAGCAGCAAATATAAATGTCCTGGTTACTGCCCAAATCATGTTGCACACTGGTCCACCTTTTGTCTGTTTCTTTATCTGTCACCCAAATTCTCATTGTAATTTATTTTATTTTATTTTCTGGCCACAGATGACTGCCTTTTACACAGTACGTAACTCTCCTCACAGAGATTTAGCAAAATCTAATCTTGAGTAACCAAATTTAGCTCAGTGATGTCACACAACTCAGGCCTTTTTCTAATTACCTCTCTGTGCGGCGGCACTAACAGCAGAAGATGGAAATAAACAAATGGAAATATCAGATGCACCTCTGCTGTTTACGAGCTGGGGTCTGACAGCTGACAAGATAGTTAAGGGGCGTCTAATACGGCAATTAGAGCGTGCCACTGTCTGCAGGGCTGCTGCTGTGACAAGGCGCCCTCTAATCACTGACTTATTACGCCGGCTAGCAGCACCTCTCATATCTGGCCCATTAAGCAGACAACAGCATTAAGAAGCATTAAAGCAGCAAGCCCCCTCAACTGAAGAGGCACTGACGGGAATAAAAAGGGAAGGGAGGGGACGGACTGTGCCTGTTATTTCTTCGTATTAATTTGCGCATTGTTCTACATTCAGTTAGGAACGCGTAAGAGAAGAGCAACAGAAGAAATGTTTGTGATGTGATGGCATCAAGGTTGATCATACACAATGAGATAAAAGATTAGACTGAAGAGAGGCAGTAGACAGATGTGTCAAAGATGGCCATCAAAAACAAGATCATCAAAGATGTGAGTTTGTATGTGTGTGTGTGAGTGTGTGTGTGAGTGTGTGTCTTGTCAGAGGAAACAAGAAAGACAAAATTACTTCTCATGATCTCACGTTTTCAAAACTCTGCTTCTGTGGCGAGCACGGCTCTGGATTGCATTTGGCCGTGGTTTAACCTGTGTCTGGCCTGGGTTGGGTCAGGGACAGGCCTGGGCCCAGATCCCACCGCTACACTCACACATATTTGTCACAGCAGGCCGGGGGAGGAGGCTGTGTTATCTGAGGCCCGGCCAGATACACAACATTAGTCACTGCGCTAGCGTCTCGCCAGGGTTTCCTCTTTGGCTCGCAACTAAAGAGGACGACGGTGAGCAAAAGGACAGAGGAGAGTGTGTGTATGTGTGTGTGTGTGAGAGAGACTGACCGTGTGTGAGACTTTGTAAATCACTAGAAAACGGAGCAGCTAGAACGTGAAGAAAATCCCACAATGCTGTAGAAATTAGACCCAGACAACAGTCAACACTCACTCACAGCTTCTGTGTTACTGTTATGGTCAACAACTTAACCAAGCTGCGTTCAGAAAAGCATCATTTTCAGCCCTTATCTTGCTCAAGTGTGTGTGTGTGTCTCACTGCTGGGTTTTGTTTAGCTGCAGGCTTGATGTTTCATGGATGTTTTGCTTGGCTCGCAGTCCCTGTCCCAGCCCAATTGTATAAACACTGACAGTCAGCAATGGCCAGCATCAGACTGGAGAGGACTCTCAATTAAAAGACTGTTAGTGGGACAGATGGACTGAGGAACTGCAGGAAAGAGGAGCTGCGGAACGAGATGGCTTCAGCTTGGACTTTTGTAGTCGGCTCCAAGATAATTTTAAGCAGATCGACGGGGAGATCAATGCAGATACATACGAGCCAGTCCAGCCCTAAACCGAGCAGCATATGCAGAGGTCAACAAAGACACTGCTTTGGCCTCTACAGGTCCGATGAAACCACAGAAGTGATCCTAAACTAATATCCTGTACAACTGTATTACTGCCCTGTTGTTTTTTAAGGTTGACGTTGTAACTAAATGCCACAAAAAACACCACTAAAACACCAGTTGCTGAGTCTGTTTCAGCCTCTGTGTATCCTCTCTCTGCAGCGTACAATGAAGCCAACCCAGACAGCTGCTGGATGCTGGGTGGGTATTGTTCCTCCTACTTTAATTGAAACCTTTACCATGTTCAACACACAGCTACAGACCACATTTCTTGTTTGGTGAGTTAAGCAAAGCCGAGATTTAAATGAAAACCCTGTGTGTATGTGCGCATCTGTGTGCATGTGTGTGAGTCTTTGCAGCAGCAGCTTCAGATTTAAATTTGTCTCTGCTTAGGGTCACTGTAAAACACTGGGAGCATCTTGTCCTCTCTTCCACCCACAAGATATTATCTCATCCATGAGTTAGCTGCTGAAATGCTGTCAATTTCCTGCCAGAAATGTGCAGCCAACATGTGTAGGAAAAGAGGCACAGCAGCTTTGCGTGTCATAAAACGGGCCCTGACTCCGTCAGATAGATCAGGACTTCACAATGTCCATATTGGAAACAGGTGACAA